TCCCTGGAGTATACTTCCTGAGCCAAGAGGGAAACAATAAACGGAGGGGAGCCTGGACTTTTCCTTCCCAAGGGAAAGGACTACATGGGAACAAAACGGAGGAGGGCTCCCTAAAAGGCCACGTGTGACTCAGCACCCAGGCCAGCTCTCCAGAACAGGCCTTCCTGCTTGCTCCCGGCGCCTGCTCCTGCCCACCTCCCCAAAGTGCCTGCCACATACTGCAGTTCTGCTCCAAGCTGGAGATGTCAGGTGCACCGCCGGCTTGTTACTGAGTGAGGGTCTTCATGGCAAGTGTCCCTCCCCCCAGTGTGGGGGGGGCCAGGGACAGGTGTGCTGGGAGAACCACTCAGGCTCTGTAGGGTTCTCCATGTCAGGCAAGGGTCTTGCCACCCCCCACCCATCTTGTGCAGGGCAGGGTTGTGGTCTTATCATCACAAACAACTCTGGCACCAGGATCCTTCGCCCCCCACCTAGAAACTTGGCAACAGCCTCTCCAGCACCAGGCCCAGCACTGTAGCTGGCCCAAACCACTTTCAGGAAAGGGGCAGGTCATCTGGAACCAAGAGAGCTGGATCCAGGTGCCTACCTGGCCCAGTCAAATGCTGACGAAGACCTCCCTGTTGAGTACACACAGTGTGGTGTTCGGGAGTGCTGGGGAGAGGCAAGTCCCCATCCTGTCTCAGGATCAGAGAAAGGAAGGGTATGCCTCTTCTAGGTGCCAGGTGCCTGCTCAGACTCCCTCTAGAAGACCAGACAGGCAGACTACATCTTCCCCAAAGTTTGGAAATGCAGAATCCCACCAAGTCCAGGGTCCAGCACATGTGCACAGTGCTAAGAATCAGAGAGGAGGACCTGTAACCAAAAATAAAAATCCACAGCCTCCAACTTCACTGTGGAAGAAAACAGGCAAAAACCTGTATAATTAAGAGTACCAGCAGACTCCAAGGGCCGGGGTTCTCCTGGAACACCAGCTCCCAGGAGGAAGTCAAGAAGCAAAACCGCATTGACACTGGAATTACTGACTTCTTAACTTCTCAAGCCCAGATGTCCAACAGGCCAACCCAATGCCCTCTACACCAGGAAGGTCTGGCTCCTGCTTCTGATGGTCTACAGCAGTTTCCTACAAGAACACTCAGAACAAGGAAGAAAGCTGTAGTTAACAATGCAGGCTCCTGTATCAAAAGTGAAAACACGGTGCTCTTCCATTATCAGGACCTGGGAACAGATGGGGCTGGGTACAAGAACCCGGGGCTCTCATGAGAACAAATGTTCCTTGGTGGTCGCCTACTTGGGCTCACAGTAGGGTGAGACGTGTGCACTGATGTCAAGCTGAAAGCACCCTGGACAAGTCCTTGGCCCAGTCTCGTTAGGTGGCCAAGAGTGCTTGGCACCCCTGCCCTCACGCGTGCTGCTGCAGAGCTACTGGAAGCTGTGGTGGGCTCATCTCCCCTGCGCTCAGCACAGTGCAGCTGCTGTGTAACGGGCCACACCTGATCAGTCCTCACGGGTTCTGCTCAGCTGGGTGGTTCTGGCTCAGGGGCTCTGGAGAGCTGCACTTAAGGAGGTGGCCCTGGCTGTGGCCATCTGCATGCTCATCTGGGAAGGTCACCATCATGACAAGCGCAGGCAGGGCTTGGGTTCTCACAGGCTTCCAGACACAGAGCTGCAGGCCCTCGCTAACTGGGCTCCTCCTTGTTTCTTGCCCCCCAGGTCTCTCTAAGAAGGTCACTTGGTCCATCAAAATGTGCAGGCCAAGAAGGCCACAGTGTCTCCTGGCAGGATGGAAGTTGCAGTCTTCTGTAACTTAACCACAAAGTGGTTGCATCCCCCAACATTGCCATATTCTGTTGGTTAGCAAAAATTTACTCGAGGAGAGGGAACTAGAAGAGGTCACAAAAAAGCAGGAGGTAAAGACCAGGGGCCATCTCTATCTCAGGGGCCTCCTGGATTCCATCCATGCTCCTCCCTGGCCCCGCTCTGTGACCCCAGTCTTGAGGGCCTTCTAACATGTACAAGGCACTGGGTTCAATCCCTGAGTCGGGGGGAACCTAAAAATCAATCTGACCCTGATCTTGAGAAGCTAGAAGTAGGAAATGGTCAAATAGCAGGGGGAAAAAACAAAATTAAAATCTGAGCTTTTGAGAAGACCAATAAAATTAATAAACCTTTAACCAGACTTATCAAAACAAGAGATAATGCAAACTACCAATATCAGAGAAGAGGGAACATCATTACAGATCTCATAAACTTTACAAGCTACCAGAGAATAGATGAAAGTCATTTCCATTCCTCTATGTAGTGATGAACCATCAGAAGTTGAAATTAAAACAGTGTTCACAACAGCATTAGTCATGCTCAGGGATAAACTTAAAAAAGCAGGATAGATGTACACATTGTAAGCCACAAAGCACCCCGAGGAGAAGCCAGACCGTAGAGGTACACAGAGGACACCCATTTTCAAAGACTGCAGGACTCGCAATGTGTCGATTCCCCCTACACTGACTGACAGGTTCGACTTGGTCCCAATGAAACCCAGGAAGCTCTTCTGTAGGGATGGGCGGATGGCGTCACAGCTCCCATGGGAATGTGAGGTCCCAAGACGCCCAGAGGGAGCTGTAAAAGGCCAGGGCAGGTCTCCTCCCAACCCCAAGCTGCAGCGCAGAGCCCGTCGGCTCCGGCTCTGGCACCAGGCACGGACACAGGGGGGCTCTCTGGTGAGAGGGCAGTCAGAGCCAACCCAGGGGAGGACCGCGCGGGAACCGGTGTGTCTGCCATGGCTGGATCCCACACGCCGGAGGGAGGGGGAGTCCTCAACGCTCATTGCGAAAAAGTGAATTCGTGGGAGAGTTCAAACTGCGAAACATCTAGAAGGAGAAGCTGAGAGAAAACCATGACCTTGGGCCAGGCAAAGATTTCTTAGTTTAAAAAGAACAATAAAGGGAAAGAATTAATATGCCAGATCTCATCAAAATCAAAAAGTGCTTTTTGAAAGACAACAGGAAAAAAATGAAAAGGCGAGCCCCAGCCTGAGGCAGACCTCTGCAGAGCTGCAACTGCTGCAGGGCTCCGGTGAAGGAGCCAGGAGAGGACAACCCCCAGCAGACCCTCGCTGGAGGCCACCAGGATGACACAGGAGCACCACCCACCAGGGGGATGCCAAGGGAACCACAGGAGATGGGGTTCCTGACAGAGGGCCAGCACCGAGGGCTGCGAGGGTGGGGGAGCCAGCACTGTGGTGGCCACACTGCTGCAGACTCAGTCAAGACCACGGAACTATCCACTCAAGACAGAAATTGTCCCCAAATCCTGAAATAAGCAACCCCTAAGGTGTGAGAAGTCCAAGAAGTTGTGATTCGGGGTTTAAGCCCTAATGCACAGACCCTGCACAAAGAAGACCTGGGAGGGAACATTTGCTCATCAAATCCAGTCATTTTCTCAGTAGTTGCTGTGGCTACAACTGAAGGACGCACCACTTTCTAAACCAGCGTGAAGCTCCCAGGATTTCCTTGCTGCACGTCCCTATACGCCAAAGGGGCTTCAGTGTCTGATAGGCCAGGCTGCAACCCATCTACTCCCTCCCTGGGACCAGCCTCAAAGCTGGGCTTCCAGCCCTGAACACACCAAAGCCCATCTTCCCTCAGGCCTAGGAGAAATCAGCAACCCCACCACCAAAGAGGGTCTGCGTTTCATTCCCTTGGGGCTTTTGATACCAGGAACTGAACCCAGGTGTGCTTAACCATTGAACCACAACCTCAGCCTCTTCTATATTTTATTTTGGGACAGGGTCTAAGTTGTTTAGAGCCTTGAAGTTGCTGAGGCAGGCCTTCAACTTGAGCTCTCCTGCTTCAGCCCCCGCCCCCCCACCACCACCACCAACAGTCACCGGGAGTAAGGCGTGTGAGGTTGCACCCAGCTCCCTCGGGGCATTTTTACAGTGATGCTGTGGACAGCTTGCTACACAAAGTCAGAGGTGGTGTCCTGTCCACCCCAGTGCCTTAGCATGGCAACACCCAAGGGATGAGAAAGGAAATGAAGAGTCATCACAGGTCATGCTCCGCAACTCCCAGGCCCTCCTGCCGCACGCCTGTGGGCTGGCTGGCCTGCTCAGCACAGGGCCCACGGGGCAGTGCACTGCCCCAGGGGTCACGGCAGAACACTGCACTGACAGATGGGGCGGGGCAGCGGTAAGGAGCTCCATGGCACCTCAGGCTGCTCTCACACAGGGGGACAGAAACCTGGGTCAAGCCCAATGACACTGGGGCTGCCACTTGCAAGGGGAGGAGCTGCACAGCTTCCCACTGCACTGCACTTCAGACCTGCGCTTGTCGCATACAGCGGGGCAGAAGCGGTTCTCGCAGAGCACCAGACTTGTGGGGAGAAACTCCCCCAAGCGACTGACCTGTACACATGTGGCCTCGGGCGTGTGGGGTCACAGAGCAGAGCTCGGGCCTCTACAGTCTTGTCCTCACCCAGCCCTCTCAGGAGGCCAAGGAGTATGACATTAGAGATTCAGACCTTCCTGGGACCAGGAGGAAAACCCAAAGTTCTGACATAACTTCTGGAGCCCAAGACTCCCCAGGGGCATCTGTAGGGGACACCTGCTCTTTCCACTGTGCCAGTGTCCCTCTATGAACCACAGCACTTCTGGAAACAACTGCTCTTGGCAGCTTGCTCTTGGAAGTCCACCCTGATCCCCATGCCAGGCACTGCTGTGAGCACGCGCCCTATCCCCGCGGGGTCAGTCTGTGCTTCCCCACTTCAGAGGCGAGGAGCCCGAGCGCGACAGAGCCCTGGCTTGCAGGGGAGCCCACTGCCCTCAGCACTCAGCCTGCTCCAAACACTACCTGTGGCTCTGACAAACACAGGGGCCCACGCCCCACCTCCAGCCAGGCTTCAAACAGGAGAAAGCCCTGAGGGCAGGTCAAGGGGGAGAGGGCAGGATGTGTGTCAGGGTCACAGCTGTGCTGGACGCCAAGCCCACAGGCAGGAGCAGCACTTACCAATCTGCAATAGGACAGGCGTGACCAGCGCCGTTTCCATGGCATAACAGAACTCCCTGCCAAACATCACCGCCCCATGCATCACCCACAGGCGCAGGGGGATCCTGTCTATGGACCCCTCGCTGAGGGTCTCCTCGTGGTTCTCAGCCTCGGGGTCTCCAGGCTTCTGCAGGTCTGGCAGGGGCACGGGCAGCTCTTGGACTTGCATGGACTCAGAGTCGGCATTCTGCGGGGCCATTTTCATCACCACCAGATGAAGCGTCAGTGTGTGCTCCACCTACATGGACGAGACGCAGCTCTGCGGGCAGAGGGAGACGCCTCCCGGGGCTCAGGTGCGCTCTGCAGGCAGGCCGCGCTCACACCCCACTCTGCAGGCACAGGGCTCTCCCTCACAGCGGCACATGGCTCGCTGGCTCACTGCGAGCGAGGGCTAAAAATCCATAAGTGCCACTCAGTTAATACCAGTGTCATCGTCATTGCTGAGGAGGCGCTGCGGTCACTTCTCCTGCCACAGAGAGGTGGGAAGGCGACACACACTGGCAGTCCTCTGTGAATCCCCATCGAGTGGCTCGAGGCTCTGCAAGAGGAGAGAGGACGGCCAGTCAGGAGAGTCGGGTGGGCTGTCTGTGCCACCTACCCCCGCCCACCTGCACCTCCAAGGTGTCCCCCAGGCCCCTCCCGGCTGCAGAGCGTATCTGTGCTGTAACACCATCTGCTCACGGGAGCTCCATGCTGGGGGTGGACAAAGATGGGCAACAAAGGGAAGCGGGGTCACAGGAGGCCAGCAGACAGAAAAAGGCCAAATGCCAATACCGTGGCCTCTGTGTCCTGTGGGAGGCGCTGGCAGTGACCCCTGTGGCCCGCCAGTACAGCGATGGGGCGGAGAGGCACAGGGGAGGCACAGGGGAGGCACAGGGGAGGCACAGGGGAGCCAGGGCGGCAGCTGAGGGAACTGCAGAGGGATTCTATGCGGGCAGAGGAGGGCAGAGGCAGCAGGGAGGATGGAAAGCAGGCTGGGCGGAGGGAGGACTCGCCTGCTCCACCCAAAGGGGGTCCAGATCTCTCCTGAGCCTGGGCTGGCCTGTGTGGGCAGTGGTCCTTGACCTGCCCAGATCACAAGACCAAGGATCATCAATGACAGTTACAGACCCTCTCTCAAGAAATGACACACCAAGTGCCAAACCTTCTGTACCTTCCGGGCATGCAGGACCAGGACTTCCTGCAGCCCCAGCTCTGAAGTCTCCCCAACCCCTCTCCTGTGACCAGCTTGTGAGGTAGGATCTTCCTGGGGACAACTGGTTACAGCCAGGCACTGGCTGCCAAGAAATGACCAATAGGACAGTGCCCTGCAGATGCTTCAGCAGGGCAAGGCCAGCTGCCCCATCAGGCAAGGTCAGCAGGCACGGCACCCCGCGTTCCTCTGGAGGGGCCTTCAGATGTGGGTTCCATCTGGAGTGCACTAGAGGAAGGGTCCTAAAGTCACACCCAACAGGGGGCCCACTTGATGTTAAGACAGTTTTGCAGTTTGATACTTTACTGCTTATGATACGCGTATTTCTAGTAATATCTCATTACTGAAATGTGACTCAATCAGCCTCCCCCCCTTCTCCTGGGGACGGGGTGGGAGCAGGGTGGGGCGGCAGGGCACCCAGGGCTTCCCAGGGACTCGGCATTGCCTCTTCCCACCCCCTTTCTTACTGCACTGAAATTTGAACCCCTGCAAGTGGCCTGCACCCGCCCCCCGATTCCTCCTCATCCTCACCCTGACAAACTTCACTAGGCTCCTTTCTGTCACTCAGCCAATCTTACACCAAAATAGGGGCGGCGACTTAACTGCCATCCCCCATCAGAAGATGGGGGCTCTCAGGAGTGGACCAGCTGGGCTGCGGCAGGAAGGGCAGCGGTGAGGACTGTCCCAGCAACTCTGGCAGCCTGGTCATCACGACCACGACCCCTCCACCCTGCCGGGCGGCCCAGTCCCACTGCCTGCCGTCCTGACACAACTGCAGCCCCACAGGGGTCTCAACTACACATGTGGTCTTCTGAGAGGAGGCGGCCTTCCGGGTCGGGAACCCTGATCTCTAGGGCTCCACCCAGGCCCAGGTCCTAGTGGCAAAGGGAAGGAACCGTCCTGCAGAGCAGCACCTCTCACTGCAGCCGTCCTTCACTGCTGCACCCTGGGGCTGCCCGCACCCAGGAACCGGGCTCTGCCACTCTCACCTTCAGCTCAAGTCACCTCCAGGATCACCCCTCCTTATAACGGATGGCCCCTGCCTCGCACAAAGGGCTCCCGTAGCTGCTGTGCTTTGCCAGGCAGTGGAAGGCCCCGCCCCTGGACTCGGCCCCTTGGCTGCCCCCCGGCTTTCCCAGCCCTCCTTGTGCACTGCGGGCCGCACGGCCAGAGTCGGTGAGACCTCGTGAAGGGAGGGCGAGGGGGTGGTGGTTGAGGAGAGCTAGCCGCCCCAACCCCCATCTGGAAGAGCTCCTCATGCGTGGTGTGGGTGCCTGTCCCGCACCCAGGAGGAGGATGGGTGCCAGCCGGCCCAAGGTGTCCTGCAGGAGCACCCATGTGCTGCAGAGGACTTAGGCCGGGCGGGACACAGGCTCAGCTGCTGGTAGCTATAATCGCACTTGCTTAGCACCAGGGCCTCCCCAGTGTCTCCTGGTGGCCAGCCTGGTGTCACCACACCATCTGCTTGAATGTGGGTTCCCAGCCCTTTGAGATGTCTCTCCTGTCACACAGCAAGTTTCCGTCCTCCAGCGAGCCGTCTCCCCAGGCCAGCGTCCCTGCGTGGGGCAGAGCAGCCTGGAGCACGCTCAGCTCAGCCCGGGCAGAGCCATTCCACCCCTGCTGCGCTTCCCAGCACTCCCCCAACTGCGCTTCCCAGCACTTTATGAGCATATGAACTTTTAAGAGCAGCCTGACAAACTCTGGGGGAGAAGATTTTGTTGGCATTTTTATGGAGATTCCAGTCATTTTCTAAACCAGCAGGGAGCACGGCAGCTTCCCCGCTGGGCCGTCCTCTGCTGCGGCCAGCACTGAGCAGGAGAGGCCAGCACTCGCCCGCAGGCTCTGCGCATCCATCCGCATGGCCAGGGCAGACAGATCTCCAGCCCTCACCCTCCGCTTCCCAGCTGCTCAGTCCACACACACACAGACTAGCTGTCCCTTCACTGAGGGCCTGCATCCCTGCCCATGTGACGGGGCTACTGATGTTTAGGTTCTAATTTCATAATCAAATGTGCATTGTCTGAGAATGGACAAAAAGAAAAAGGAAATCCATTTAGCCACAGCTGTCACCACCACCAGAGCATGGGCACCCCTCACTCTCGGGGTGCGCTCCCACAGCAGTGGGTACGGTTCCCACTTCCTCACTGAGGATGCTGCTGGTCCCATCCAACTGACCTGAACTTCCCACAGCCTCATCTGGAGACTTGACAAAGCCCGCGTGGCATACAGAAGGGGTGACTGGGGCACAACAGGGCAGTGGCCGCCACTGCAGGACAACCAGTGGGGCAGTGTGACCAGCCCACTGTCCATGAACATGTGGCCACAGCCCGCACAGCTGTCCCCTCTCAAGAGGCTCAGAGACACCATACAGCACTGGTGTCTCTGAGATCCAAAAAAACACTAGGGTGCTCCCTTTCAGGGTGGGGCCAGAGGAGAATAGCCAAGCCGTGGGGTGATGGGTCTGCCCCCTCGGCAGCTCCTGGCCTCCTCCAGTCGCCCAGAAGGCCAAGTTCAAGAGTCAGCTGTGGCCTCTCCAGGCATCCCCCCTGCGTGAGACAGATCTTCCCCAGCACCCAAGACAGATCTTCCCCAGCACCGAGGGAAGCATTCCCCTGGAACCCACTGCCGCGACTGCCCCGTGCTCAGGGACAGCAGCTTTGCTGGGACCTGCAGATGCACTCAGACAGCAATTGTTCCAATCAACAACTTCCTCTATTGTCCTGCTCTTATAATCTACAGACACGGATGCCAAGCACGTGACTTCCCAGTGTGCTGGGGGAAGGCCACTGTGTACCGAGCCCAAGAAAAGCCAACCGGACAGTGAATCTGCACAGCACCCCATGCTCGGCTCAAGTTTTAGGTGGACGCCATCACTGCAAATTCTTGACAAGCAGCATGGATGTGGCAGTCATACTTCCTTGAAGGTGGTCCCACCAGCTCTGATGCCTCACATCGGGCTGAGGATACCAATGCTCACAGACGTGGACAGCCAGCTGCCCATCATTCCATCATTCAGAGACAGGCACAAGATGGGGTGTGCCACCCTTGGAAAGCCCACGGGGACCACAGAGGCCCCTGGACTTAGGACAGCACATCATCTCCAAATCCCTGTCTTAGTGGAAACCTCACTAACCTACTGATCCCAGCTCTGCAGCACACAAAGGATACGTGCTCTCTGGTCGTCACAGGACTGCCCAGAGTGGACAGCAGCATCTTACCAGGTCACTAGCCTGGAAGAGATCAAAATTCAAAGTTTGAAATGTGATTTCTACCTTGCCTGCCACTTCCTCATGTCACAAAGTCAGAAGACGGTCACACAGACCTGTCCTAAGTTGAGGATAGCTGTCCTGTTTTCCGGTGGAAAAGCTGTCAGCTGCTCCCTGACGACCCAGCTGCTGTGCGCTAGTCAGCTGGTCCCCCCGTCCATGCACATGGTTGTGGAAGCCAGGGGCCAGGACGCTGGCAGTGTGTAAGGAGGAAACCAAGGTGGGGTGCAGCCCAGCGGGGTGCCTGCCCAGCACACTCAGGGCCCACGTTCAATCCACAGAACTGCAGAACAGCAGCAGCACCAATAAAATTAGAAAAAGAAAACCAGCTTTTGGCTCAAGAGCATAAAAAACATGAAATCGGATCAAGCAACTTGAAAGCACCTGGGCAGGATTGAAGCCAGCCGACAGCAGTTCTGCTTACAGCAGTACTTCCTGAATGGCACTTCAGAAACTCCAGTGACCCCAACGCAAAGTCAGCATTGCCCCACAGAATGAGAGCACAGCCACAGGCTAGGAGGAAGTATCTGCAGAAGACACAGCTGATAAAATATCATCTAAAATACGCAAGGAACTATTAAAGTCCAACAATAGGAAAAGAACTTGATTTAAAGTAGGTCAAAGATCTCAAGAGGCAGCTCACAAAAGGGACATTGCAGATATGCAAACCACACAGGGACCACTCCACATCAGTTTCACCAGGGACAGACAGACCAAGCAGACAGGCCACCACACAGCACTGGGAGTGGCCCAAACCCAGAATGCTAGCCCCACCGGGAGCTGGGGAGGGCCTGGGCCTGCAGGCCTCCACTGACTGCAGGGGGTGCAAAATGGTCTGGCTGCTCCAAACACAACCTGACCAAGGCTGGTTCTGGTTTTTTTTTTTTTTTTTTTTTTTTGAGTGGAATGTCCTCTAATAGTGCAATCAAGATCTGGGTTCCTTGGACTTAACCAAAGGAGGTGAAAACTAGTGTCCAAAAACTGGCACCAAAGGCTTACAGTGGCTACATTTATAGGTGCCAACACCTGGAAGCAACCCAGATGTCCTTTAAAGGTGACAAATTATGGCCCATCCCAACAATGGAATATTATTCAGCACTGAAAAGAGATGCGCTCTTGAGCACTGAAGTCATGTGGGCCCCTCAGATGCTAAGTGAAAGGAGCCACCGGATGAAAGAAATGTACTGTGTTTATAGCAGGTCAACGGGAGCCAGGTTACAGAGGGGACTGTTGGACAGGAGGAGCAGTGTCTAGGGCAGGGAAAACATTCTGGTGCGCCAAAGGGAGATGCATATCATGGCACCTTTGTCCAAACCCACAGAAAACACAACACCACAGGCAGCCGTCACTCTGGTGACACTGTGGTGTCAGGAGGCCCCCTCTGGTGGGCTATATGCATCTGAGAGCAATAGGCATAAAGATACTCTCTGTATAGTCCTCTGAATTCTGCTGCAAATTTGAAACTGCTCTGTAAAGTGTAGGATTTAAAAAATAATTAGTGTTTTGTCCTTATATTTAAACAAATAAGTAACATGCTCTAGACAAGAAAAGACTCAGGACAGTCACCGGTGTCACACGGTTGGGAAAGCTTTTCTCAAACTGGCTCACATATGTGCTGATCCCGTCCTGGACGCGTCCACTCCTGGTGTTATGTGTCACCTGCAGGAACTCTGACTGGCCCCTCAGGCTGCACAACATACCTCTGGTCTAAGGCATACAAAATAACATGAATCCAACCGAGGCCCAGGACTTTGTGGCCTCTCCAAAACTCGGCTGGTCGCCCTGTGAGTCTGAATCAGAGGGGTGTTTCTGCACTGCAGGCTCCTGGGCTCCACCCCAGCCCCACACACCAGGCTGCCCACCTGCTGCTGGAGCAGGGGCGAGGCAAGGGGTCACTCATCTGTGTGCACACTTGTGCCTGTGAGTCTGTCTCCATCCACCTGTCTGTGAACGTGCAAGCTTGTGTCTGAGCATCTCTTTATCTATGTGTATAAATTACTCTTGAGCATTACGAAATGGAATTGAGGAAACTTGGAAAGAGTCCCCAGGGCGTGAGGGGATCAAAACATTGTCACACTGTACACCGTCAGTCATTAAGGTTTCCTCAGTGAATCAGTATCCCAGCAACAGAGGAACCGCCCAGCCGTGGACTCAGTCAGACCACAGCCTCACCAGGGTCCTGCTAGAGGACCCAGTCTTCCCAGACCCTGGGGTCCTCCGGTCCTCCACACAGCCTGCACTCTTCCTTCCACCCGCCAGCCCAGAAGCATGTGCAGCACCTGCCCAGATCAGGCAGGCACCACATGGTCAAAAAAACAAAACAAAACATTCAGAAGCACTGAATGCAGAGGACTAACCCCTCACCACTCTGTTAAAAAAGAAAACCAAATTTTAGAAATGTCTCTCTTTTAGTGAGAAGGAGGAGAAAAAGGGCTCCAAGAAGACCCATCCCTCTTCCAGCCAGGAAGCAAAGGCCAGTGTGACCTGCCACCAAGCAGCAGAGACTGCTTTTCTAGTTCCAAGCTGGGACACTGGCACACTGCAGCAAGAGTGCGTTTCCAAGACAGACACACACACGAGGCCTGCTGAGCCCCTCTGGAAGTGCACCACACGCTGCACCTCATGGACTGCACAGCCACCTGTTGTTCCTCAGAGAACTGCCACCCAGACCCTCCCATGCCCCACCCACCCACTGGGCATGACTCAGCTGCGTCTGCATGCTACAACCACCTGGCAGACCTTGGCAAGTCCACTCACCTAGGCTGGGCCTGCTTCCTCAGCGGTAAACTGCAGATACCAAAGGGTGCTTCCTCCAGTCCAGGGGCTTCCTGGTCCCCCCATGACAACAGGGGGCCACTCCTATATAATCTGTGATGTACGGTCACCCCGCCCATTGCAAATCATGACCCAGCAGCTGGCAGAGAGCAATACCTGCCAAACAGATCCAACAGACCTGCAACCAGCACACAATGCCAGCACTACCTGCAGACACCAGGAAAGATGCCACCGGCCTGGCCGGCACTGAGGGACACTGTCCTTACAGCCGCTCATCTGTGGAGACACTCAGCCCCTTCTGAGCCCAGCACACAGGGCTTACCGTAGGTAAGGGGGCAAGAAAATCCACAAGGAACAGAGCCCCAGGGGATGAGCCGTGAGGCTCCCCCACAGCAAGAGGCTGTCAGAGTCCTGCAAGCCTCAGGCTGTCCACTTGAACGCCTCTGTTTTCACGGCTGGCACTTCCATTTCTGGAAGTCACTTTTCCACTGCAAAGGAAAACATCAGGATGGCCAACAGAGCTCCAGGGTGCAACTGGGATCCCCAGGGCTCCTGGGGCAGGGTAGCAGTTGCAGACTTGTCCAGACACCCAAGAACAGCACCTCAGAAAGTGGCGTACGACTAGACCAGGGCTCCAGTGCCCCTGGAGGGCTGTTGGGGTGACTCAGTGGGAGCCAACTGCAAGCATTGTCTAAGGAGCAAGAAGACGGGTGCCAGAGGCAGCTCAGCCTCTCCAACAAATGCCACCCACCCAAGGCAGTGGCCACAACGGGGCTGCCCGAGCATCCACAGCTCATCAGCAGCCTCCTCAACCCGCCAGGGGCACATGTGTAGGGCAGGCATGGGCACACGCAGACACCTGAGAAAATGGCCAGCACCTCTCCACTTCTGATTTTCCAGGTCTTCCTGGTCTCAAAAGCAGGGAATCCATTCTCACTGGTTGCCCTCAGGACACTAGAGCCTGTTGCTGACTCGCCAGCCCATTCCTGGGCCTGGCATGCACAGTGGCAGGCTGCCTCCCAGCCCCTCCCATCAAGGCCACCTGGGGCTCCACCGGAGGATCCTAACTGGCCTGATGGCTTGCCCTTCACCCTAAGGGCCTGTTTTCTCAATTTTGTCACCTGGGCAACCCCTTAAAAAGCCAATTAGACACACCACTCCCTGCCCCAACTCCCCCTTAGTCTGGGCTGGTCCCAAAGTCCCCCTAAAGGGCCACCTGTTCTCTGGCCATCACTCTGCTCTCCCCGTGTTGCAGGGTCCACCTCAGCCCCTGCACCTGCTGACTTCTGACTGCTCCCTCAGCAGCCCTTTCTCATGGGCCACGCAGACTACCTGGCCACACAGCCTCCAGGCAGCGCAACCTCCTGGCCGAGAGGACCCCGTCAGATCAACAGCAGGCCCAACGGCAAGCTTCCAGGGAGACAGGCAAACTGATGACATGAGGTCAAATTCCAAACTTCCACCTCTTAAAACCACAATAAAATCCACTTAGAATCAGAAATCTCTACACTACTAAGACAACTGCCACCCAAACATGAAGGGAACAAAAAAGCACCCAGCAAAAATAAAAAGCCCAGGACGAAAGTTCACTTATGAGAAAATGACCTGAACCAAGGACAGGCATCCCCAAAGAAAACCGTCCCCCCAACATTTAGCCTTCTTACCACAGTTCTTTACAGCCTCCTTGATTTGCCCAATCAGCCGAGTAGGTTTTCTAATTAAAAAGCAGTGAGGGGTTCTTCTCTCCCTTTCTTTCTAAATGTTCCTAGCACTGATTTGCTGATTTGAGCCACTGGAGTCAGAACGAAGCTTTGGCTGCCATGGAAACAGCAGCAAGAGTTTAAACTGCGCAGCTCCTGGAATCCCGGCTGGCTCAGGAAACCAAGCTGCAGCACGGATCCAAAATGCCAAACGAGCATCTCAGCCAGGAGTCCCGAGGGAGATGATCGAGTGTTTCTCTGAATCACTGCTCGCCCCATCTAGCAGCAGACCCAGGACAAGCAGGCAGGCAGCCTCGGCCACCCATCACACAGAGAGGCCAGGGCCAGCAGGATGACCAAGCGGGTGGAAATGAAGCAAGAATCCCTCGCGCTGCACACATACAGTCCAGACCTGACTGAGGACATGGGCGCAGCTGAGGAAACAGCCCCAAGGACAGCCAGGATGTGAGGGGCTCTTGAGTGGTGCTCGTTCCTGCCGTGACTCACTGACTCACAGATCCTGCAGGCATCCTAAGGCCACGATGGACGCAGGGATTCGAGAAGTGAGAGCTGGGACTAAGCCATCCACGGGCACAGAACTACAGTGCTCACGTGGTCAGACAAACACCAGGCACAGGTCGGGCTGGCAAAGCACGCCTGTCATCTCAGCGACTTGGGAGGCTAAGGCAGGAGAATCCCAAGATCTAGGCCAGCCTCAGCAACTTAGTGAGGCCCTGTACCAAAATAAAATATAAAAGACTGGGGATGCAGCTCAGAGGTAGCGCACCCTGGGTTAAGTGCCCAGAGTGCAAAGAAAGAGAAGAGGAAACCCACGAAGCACTGGCATTCTTTTTTTTTAATATTTATTTTTTAGTTTTAGGTGGGCACAACATCTTTATTTTATTTTTATGTGGTGTTGAGGATCGAACCCAGTGCCCCACACATGCCAGGCAAGCGCGCTACCGCTTGAGCCACATCCCCAGCCCAGCACTGACATTTTTAAAGAGAAGCACGGGGCGTACAGCAGCACCCCTGCCCACAGGAACCACTCCAAGACCCCAGGGACGCTGACACTGTAGCCATAAAGCCAGCACTGGTCCTTTCTCCTGCAGGTGCATGCAGGCTCAGCTGCCAACTGGGCCGCGGCCTGGCACTGTTGAAGTCTGAGGCGCAGCAGGCAACTCACACCCTTTCCTCCACCACGACTCCCTGGGGAGGCCACTCTTCCTGTGAAGGACAGCGGAGGACTCTGACCTCTCCACTTAAAGGAAGTGCTCTCTGGCTTCTCCAGTGCCACCACTCTATGCCCAGGGACCACCATGAAGTAAGACGGGGCTCACCCTCACCACCAGCACTCGATATGTGCAGCCATCTGGTGACTGCCCCGCAGGCAGTGGCACTCGGGTCCCAGGTGGGAGGGAGGGACGTACAAGACTCCTCTACACTCAGAAGGGTGCACAACTTAGAAATCTATGAGCTGTTTCTTTCTGGAACCTTCTCATTTATATTTCAGACCTTGGTTGATGGCAGACAACTGAAATAGTGGGACATGGGACACTACTTTTTCTTCGACAACTGTTAAAATGACAACTAGTTTTTTTTTTTTTAAATCAAGTTTAGAAGACAATTTACATGGGCTGTAGCCTGAGGTCCCATTTGTTTTTGTCCTTCCTATGACCAAAGTGATGGGCTAAAACCACGAGCCTTCCTGCAAGGCGCTCCAAGAGCACCAGGACTTTATCTAAAGCCACAGGGCTGAGTCACCATAGTGCCACCCACCAGGAAAAGGTGCTGCAGAGACCATTACCCAGTCTCAGCACCTCCTCAAGTGGCAGCCTTCTCAGACCCCTGGCGCTAACCTCCATGAGCAAGCAGAGGGGGAGAACTGGACAGCCACTGCTTCTTCCTCCTCCTGGTCCCCACTCAGGGAAGCAGCTGGAACTGGGGACACCTCCCACAGAAGAGGTGGCCTGGCCTTCCTTAACTGCATAAATCAGACCAAAACCTACCAATATCTCCCCACCTCTGTAGAGAAGAGGAGTCCCCCAATCTGGTACCCTCCATTTTCTGTGATGAGGAAACCCAGTCAGGTATTTAATGACCCCAAAGCTCTGGGGAGAGCTGGCTTTTCAGGACCAAGCAAGCACCTTCTGGAACTGTGGACAAAGCACTGCTCTTGCCCACACCAGCTCAGCCTCCTGGACCACCACAGCAGCTGCCTGTGCTGGGCAGCCCCATGGCATGGCTCCTGCCCAGTGTGTGAGGCCTGGTGCAACCCCCAGCACAGAAAGAACACCAGCGCCCTCCCCAGACTGCAGCCTGCTCAGGGTACACAGAAGCTCAGCACACTCCACCCCCAGGAAGCCCCGGCGGGCTGGGTGTGGCTCCGTGGCATGTGAGGCCTTGGGTTCCATCCCAAGGCCCGCAAAAAAAGAGAAATCTCAAGCATCCAGAAGAAACTGGCTAAAGAGTGGCATGTCCATAAAGAAAGCCACACTGTATGACAGTTGACAGGAAACACCTGATAGTAAGTGTAAAAAGCAGGCCATAAATCAAGTGCGCATCATGACCACATTAGAAGCTTTAAAAGATGGATACACAAATTTCTGTGTGGTTCATTCATACTTAGGTTCTTTGTGCTTCTATATGACCTAAACTTTAATCAAAAACAAGTAAGTATGGGCTGGGGCTGTTGCTCAGTGGTGGAGCACTTGCCTAGCACAAGTGAGGCACTGGGTTCGATCCTCAGCACCACATAAAAATAAATTAACAAATAAAGATACTGTGTGACCATCTACAACTAAAAAAATATATATTTTTTAAATAAGTAAACTTGGCTGGGACTGTGGCTCAGCGGTGGGACACTGGCCTGGCATGTGTGGGGCCCCTGGTTCGATTCTCAGCACCATATAAAAATAAATGAATGGAATAAAGGTATAGAAAATAAATAAATGAACAAGTAGAATAAGTAAATTATCTTTGAAAATATAGCTCAGTGTGGTGAACATGCCTGTCATTCCATCAACTCAGGAGGCTGAGGCAAGAGGTCTGCAAGTTTGAGGCCAGCCTCAGCAACTTAGCAAGATCCTATCTCCAAATGAAAATAAAAGGGGCTGGGGATATGGCTCAGAAATGAAGCATCCCCAAGTTCAATCCCCAGGAATTAAAAAACAAATAAAAACATAGATATGTCACTGTTTTGGGGTGGCCAGCCCGACCCACAGAGGACTGCATTGGGAGGCCAACAGCAGCCCAAGAGGTAGTTTGGGAAGGTCTGTAAAGATGCCTGTGGACTGAGCTGTTGGGGGATCTACACCATTCAGTTGCTGCAGACATGAAAGACTCAACCAGTGGACGCCCAGCAGCCTGATGGGGACGCCCCAAGGCCCTGCAGGGATGACAGTGGGCTCCTCTGGATCAACCATCTCTGGGTGCAGGGGCCAGTACTTCACTGGGGCACTCCTCCTGGACCTGTAGCTCAGACTGTCCTTCCTGCCTGCCGCCCCCACGGTGAGGGTGAGCCTCCCGCCCTGCCACCGCAGGCTCAGGGCTATTCCATATGCCCCTGTGCGATGGGTATCCATGGCCTAGTCCAGCCCACAGGACACTGGCCCGCTAGGGATAGGACCAGCCATAGGCTTCTCTTTTCTCTAGAATGAGATGAGATAGAGGGTCGTGGGCCCAGGCTCTAGGCCCCAGGCAGGTCAGTGTGGGATCAGGCAGCTCCACCCCTCGTCTGGGTGATCGATAGCTTCCTTCCTGCCCAAGATCCCACTGGCACTGGGCTCCCCAGCCAAAGGCCCGTTGTGGTTTCTCAGCTGAAGACAACAACAAGCACCTTCCCACTGGTAATTCTCGGGGTGCTATCACCCCAGGCCTCAGCACTGCCCTGCAGCATCAGATCAGACCCTGGGCACCAGCACCAGGCTGCCTCCCAACAGGCCAAGAACAGCCAGGAACCAACTTGGGAACCAAAGGGGCCAGGTTCCCCAGCCACCTGAATTGCAGAGGGGCGCAGGCACTGGGGCAGGTTGACTCACATGTGCCCAGAGCAACCCGGTGTGCCAGGAATGCAGGCCACACACCTCAAACCACACATGCCGATGACGACGACGCTTCCGCTCCCATGCTGGGGACTAGCCACCACTGTCAGATCCTCCACATACGGAAGCTCCATATGGACTCGAATCAATCAAGGACTGGATGTCACTACAATTGTGGGCTCCAGCCCAGACCCACCTCGAAGACCAGCCGCTGGCTTCTGTCCCCTGTGTGAGAACCTCACTGCTAAGCACCAGACTCAGGTTCATGAAACTGAAGCCCAAGAGGCTTGGAATCCAGAAAGCCAGGAGGGTCAAGCTGCGCGGTGCAGTGGGGTCCCTAGGGGTGCAACTACGACTTCCTATGTCCTGGAGACACATGCTGTGATCCCAGCGAACAGCCAGGATGGCTGGGGGGGGCGGGGGGGGCGGGGGCTGAGGAAGGAAGATCACAAGTTCAAGGCCAGCCTCAGCAACTTAGTGAGACCCTGTCTCAAAGTAAAATAATAAAAAGGCCTGAGTTGTGGCTCAGCGCCAGACCCCAGGGTCCAAGCCCGAACCAAGTCAGGCCAGACACATGTGCTGGCACAAACAAGCAAACCGTTAGTCAGGGTTTTCCTCCTCTGGAAACAAAGGGCAACTCCCTCAGAAGCTGCAGCTCTCAGGTACAGCAAGCTCAGGAGGCCCTCCACACACGCCATCTGGGCAGCAAGGGTAAAGCCACACCCCTCCCCTGCCCCGTGGGCATTCAGTGCACCTCCCAACAGTCTAGCCCAACAGCCATCTTTTCAACACACACCAGCCAGGGTGCAGCCCAGGGACAGACCCTTGCCTAGCATGTACAGCCCTGGGTTCTGTCCCCAACACTACACAGGCAGGAAAAAGAAAAACTTCAAACAGACTGTGAAACCCACAGGGACATGGGCATGGCACCTGGTGGGGGTTGGGGGAGACAGCAGACTGCCTCCTGGCCTAGTGCTGGCCACACCCAGGGGGCAGGAGCCAGGCTGCGGGGGAAGGAGAACTGCAAGCCAGCAAGAAAGCACAGTCATCTGACCAAAGAGGAAGTCCCAGGGCTGCTTACCAACACAGCCAGCACCACTGCCAGTGAGCAGCAGGGTCCTGAAGGACAGCAGGCGGCTGCTGCTCCAGCGTCAGCTCGGTCCCCAGGGCACGCTGCACAGGGCTGTGGAAGGGACTCCAGCCTGCGGAGCAGCCACCTGGACCCTTCCTGTCCACAAAAGGTCAGCCAGCCAGGCCTAAGCCTCACCCTGGCTACTCTGGCTCCTGGGTGAAGTTGGGGGCTCAGCTGGGCCCCACCTCAGACCTCTCTTCTCTGCTCTCAGCCCACACCAGTCCTGACGCCATGACTCGCCTCCCTCACCCACCTGTTCACACACACACACACACACACACAGTGCCAAGCCCTGCTCCACCCCTGCTTCCCATCTGCACACCAAGCAGCCCAGGACCATGGCTTGGCCCAGGCAGAGGCTCTGGAGGAGAGGCAGAGGGGCTCCTTTCATCGGGAAGTAACATCCTTCCTCAGGAAAGACGTTTTTTAAGGA